TATTAATTGCTTTAATAATTAATATAATTGTTAGTCAAATCAATATCCAATAGTACTAAAAGTATTATTTCAAATTTTTATACATAAGATATAAAATTATTAAACCGAAATAATTAAAAATAATGTGTCCATATTACAAAAGATTTTATAATAGTAATTTTTATTGCCTAATAGAATTTTTCAATTATTAAATATTATTTATGATAATTATTGTATGACATTTAAATTATTAGGTAGAATTTTTATAATTAAGGTATAATATTATTAAATCAAAATTATTAAAAATAATGTATCCACGATATAAAATAAATTATACTTGTCTTAATAATCAATTTTTTTAATGCTACTAACTCTATTACATTGAATTAATATAAATTTATAATAATCATTTATTAATATAAATTTACAATTATAAATTTGTATAAGGAAAACATAGAAACTTCTAGGAATAAATAAATAAATACATAAATAAAATCTCTCCATTTCATTTTTCTCTTTTGTCACTGTCACATTCCCACTCTCTTTAGAAAAAGACAAAGTAGGATGAGAAATGGCATCTATCTACAACGTCCTCACCCCTCAATTCGATTTAGCTGTTGCTTGATTGGTGTTTTGCCCAACGAACCACGTAAACTCTTAACGCTGCTTATTAAAAAAAATATAGAAACTTGAATGACATGTACAAATTTCAAAGCCAACATACTAACTCTAAGTTTCATAAAATATTACAAAATTATCAAAATCACTGTCATTATCATCCTCGATCGCATCTCTGCGCTCTTCCATAAAAACTAAACCATTAGGGTTCTGTTACCAAGCATCTTCCTCCTCAATTTCCTTTTGCTGAAGCAAAGCCTCCTTAAGTATCTTAAAGCTCATACCAGACGATATAAACTGCAAAACATATTGAAGTACGGGGGAATATAGTTAGAAAAAGGTAGAAAATTAATACGAAAAGAAAGAAATGATGAGATGGAGAACTAAAAAAATGCTTTGAATTTTATTTTGGTTTTTAGTGTATTCTTATCATGCTTCCCTTTGTATCTGTTTACATATAAAGAGAATCCGTCCCTCTTCAAACTTTATCCACTTGATGAGCTAGGAACTCTATTACTTCCCGATCAATCTTTATAGATCCGTATCTTCTCCACAAAAACAAACAAACAAACAAACAAAAATATATCAACATTTTGTCTTAGGAACCACTTTTCTTATTTAAAAATCGGAAAATACAAAGAAAAAAAAAAAACAAAAAGAAAGAAAGAAAAATGAATCTAAGATAATGAAAACCTCACCTGTGCAAATCACGTATCAACCTCAACTGTGGAAGATCATAGGATAATTAGCAAAAGTCAATAAAATAATTAAGTTTAGTTGGGATTGTAGGTGAAGTTGATGGATTGTATATGATCATGTAAGGTGTATTTATACACAATAAATAAGATCAAAAGAACTTAGTATTGAAATTATAAAATGGTAAGAGATTTGAAGAAAGGTAAAAACTTTTAATTTCACACGGCATTCCATATACATATACTACACAGTAATTAGCACAGCATTCCATATGTACATATACTACACACTAATTAGCTTAATTAACAATAATCACCTTAATTACTACCTATTATATGAGTAACCTATACGTTAAGTACACTGTTCTAACCATCATTTCCCCTAATTATTTAATTAATAATATATTACTAATATAATTATTATTCCTAATGTATTTATTTGGAATTGTGTGTACCCAAGCTCAATACAATAAAATGGGTTAGGAAGATATCAGGTCAAACTTGTAGCTTAAAGAATATAATATAAATTAGGCAAAATAATTTATTTATTTAAGGTAGAAAATACTAATTTGTATTTATAGGTAGAAAATATTAATTCAAAAGGAAAGGATAAAAATTTATTTATTTAAGGTAATAACATTATTATTATTATTATTATTATTATTATTATTATTATTATTATTATTATTATTATTATTATTATTATTATTATATTACATAAATACCCCTAAGTTTTGGGGGGAAAATTTGGCTAGGAGGATTTTAGTTTTATATATATATATAGATTATAAAAAATAAATTCAGCGACTCATGATTAGCTTAATTTCTATAATAACTGTTACGCATTTATTATTATTAGGCAATTATTATTATTAGGCAATTATACCAAATCTGTGCAATTAAACTTTTACAGGGTGTTTGGTTGGAGGGATTTTAAATTCCCTTCCCACTTAATTCCCACATAATTCCAAAGACCATTAAATTCCGTAGTTTGGTTGGAGGGAATTGCAATTCCATGGAATTGTAATTCCCCCATTTTCATGGAATTAAAATCCCAGGTCCCCCCTGGTATTTTAATTCCTGGGAAAAAAAGATAATGATGAGTCAAAATTACCTCATCCCTTTTTAACCTAAAATTAATGTCTAGCAACAATAATGGACATTTTTGACTTTATACTACTTATTCCCTTTCAATTCCCATGTATACCAAACATTGGAATTGAAATTCCCAGTAATTTTATTCCTGTCAACCAAACACTGGAATTTAAATTCCCACTTTATTCCCAGTAATTCAACTCCTATGGAATTACAATTCTTTTCCCACATAATTCCCTCCCTCCAACCAAACGCCCTGTTATATATACATTAAGTATACTAGTTTTTGTCCCGTGCGATGCACGGCATAAAATTTAAGTAACTTTATTATTGATAATATTTTAAAAATAATAAAATAAAATATTAATCATGAAATTAAAACTTATTCGGAAATGTATTTTTCTTTAACAATATTAACTTGGTTGTTATATCGAACATCACATACTGTTAGCATATATTATAAAGAATTGTGTTATAACATACCACATGAGATTTAAAAAGTGTATATTAAATTAATTATACACACACACACACACAGATTTTTATAAAAAAAAAATTAAAATTAGGAAATCAAACAATATACAATAAAAAAATTATGAAATTAAATTTTCTTATATATAAAAACATTTATTAATATGATTTGCAATTAAAGCCTATAGTACATATACTTGACAATATATAAATAAAAAATACAATTTCATCATCATACATTGAAACTAACTACGAAAATCTTTTCTTGAACATTGCTTAATAATAATTATTATATACGTACAACATTATATAAATCTAAACTAAATATGAAATATTTCATGACATGAAAGAAAAAATAAAACCTGCAATGCTAAGCCCAATAAACATTTAATTATCTATCCATATAACCCAGTTACGTTGCATTTCAGCCCAATACCCGAGCCCATTAACCCAATTATAAAATCTGATTACCAAACCCTAATTCATATTTTTTGACGATTGCGCTTCCGTCTACTCTGTTGCGTTTGTCATTCTCTCTAAAATGTTCACTGACTTACGCGAACCTTCTCTGTTTCCGGCATCTTGACACACTCGATTTTAAATCATCGCACGTCCAAGTAATCCACTGCTAAAAAACTTTTCAGATAATCTGACTGTAGCTTTTGGCCGTTGTGGAATTGCTTTCTTCCCGAAATGCCGATCTGAAAAATCGGGTGACCGGAGCAGATCTAAAACAAACTAATAAATACAGTATCATCTTCAGGTAAAACTTATTGTTTAAAACGAAACCATATTTTCTAATTACTTAATATCAGTTCAATAATTATTTGTTTAATCTTATTCGTCTCTCCAATATTATTGTTCATGCAACTGATTTAAATTTAAAAAAACTTTTTTTCAATTTAGTAACTGATTTATTAACTTTTTTTAAAAAAAAAATTTCCCTCTCAAAACTATATTAGAATGAACAATTAAATTGTTGTCGATCAACAAAATTGTAAGAATAAAAAAACAGGTTAATCTTATTTTTTAAAATAAGATATTCTTAAAAATACTGAAATGTATTACCTGCTTCATCATTAAATAACAATAATTGTAGATTAACATGTATTGAAAATAGATAAGTATGCTGCATTATATACCTTAAAATGATGCAATTTCATTTAATTGGTATTTAATACCTTAAAAATGATGCAATTTCATTTAGGCGGGAAATTGATTGACAAAAAACATTTTGCTATTATATAGAGTAAGATAAGATTTTGTTTTTTCACTATATCGCCTTTATTTTTTTTCAATTCCTCCATATTTGAATGAATTAATTTTAATTAACAACTCATATTTAATAGTAAATAGATACGACGAAGGCTCCAAATGCAAGGAAGCCCAGAAGTTGCGGAGGCGGAAAGATATGGTGTTGCCGCAATACATATTGCTAAGGTTCCCAACAGACCTGCTCTCGCATACGCCTTGTGTTTGATCACTACACCGTCATTCTCCATTGTTCTTCTCCCCAAATGCAGCACATCAAATTGAACAAAACACTATATTCAATCAATTCTTATCGAGTTTTACATGTATTCCCATATTTTATTCTCTCAACTTTACTCTCTGATGTGGAGAGCTCTGATAAGTTATTTTTTTCATGTGGGTCCCAATATAATTGTTACATCAAGGTTTTGTGTGTGAGAGTAAAATTGGGAGTAGAAAATGAGAGTACAAATAGCATTTTTCATGTATAGATGAGTTTTAATACATGTACTCCCAAATCTACTACCTCAACTTTACCCCTTATGTGGCGAGCTCTGAGCTCTGATAAGTTACTTTTTTTCATGTTGGTCCCAATACAATTGTCTACATCAAGGTTTTTTGTGTGAGAGTAAAAAATTTGGAGTAGAAAATGAGATCACACATAACATTTTCCATATATAGATAAGTTTTACTACATATACTCCGAAATCTTACTCCCTCAACTTTTTTTCTTGATGTGGCGAGCTCTGATAAGTTACTTGTTTCATGTGAATCCCAATACAATTGTCTACTATAATGCTTTGCAAACGTGACATAGTCCTTCCCAAGCAATGCTTTTTGTCCTTGCATATCCACCCTCGCGTACGCCTTGTGTTCGATCACTCCACCATTGCCACTCTCCATTGCTGCTCTGATCTCCCCAAATGCTGCACACCAAATTGATCAAAAGACTCTATTCAATCAATTCTTAGCACATGAGAGAGTGTATGAGTAAACAGCTTTGCAGACTAGACGTCAACTGATTCACCTCAACTTTACCCTTTTATACTGAAAGATTGGTTTGGGCGTTATCCTAACAAGATCCCCGTCACGCTGATACAATCAAACTGTTAGGATTTTATTTTCCTTTTTTGTGACGGAAAACACAATCCCTATTAATTAAGGAGGTATATATTGAGTTAATTCCGTCTTGTGATTATATTATTATAATGAGTAAAAAGATAAATTAATTTAAAGAGTTAATTATCAAAATGAGTTAATACCCAAAATCGTCCTCGACTATAGTGGTTTTTCTCAATTTCGTCCTAAACGACTTTGGTGACCTAATATCGTCCCAGACTTTTGTGTTTCGCTCAATTTAGTCCCAGACTTTTGTGTTTTTGCTCAATTTAGTCCCTCATTTGTTATTCTGTCCATTTGGTGTTAAATAAATAGACAATTCAGTAACTTTAATATTGGCATCTCTTTACTCATAGACATGTGAACTGCGAAATCCCTTTTTTTTTTTTTACGAATTACTCCTAAAACTGCGAATATAAAATTTGATTTGCAGGTCCGGGAGTAATTCTGGGTGTAATTCGTACAAGAAAGAGGAATTTCGCACTTCACAAGTTGAAAGTAAAGAGAGATCAATATTAACATTACTGAATTGTCCTTTTATTTAACACTAATTTGACGGAATAACAAATGGAGGACTAAATTGAGCGAAACACAAAAGTCTGGGACGATATTAGGTCACCAAAGTCGTTTAGGACGAAATTGAGAAAAACCACTATAGTCGAGGACGATTTTGGGTATTAACTCTTATCAAAATGGTTCTTTGACTATAGTGAATTACCAATTTCGTCATCGACTATTTTTTTTGACCAATTAAGTTCTCAATTTTAAAAATCTTAACCAATTTGGTCCTCCGTTAGTTTTGCCGTTAGACTTTCGTTAACTTGGGACAAAATTGGTAATTTTTCTATACTCAAAGGACAATTTCAATAATTAACTTTAGGTGTGGACAATTTGGTTCTGTTTTCTCGAACTAAACCGTACCGAACATTAAAGTAATTAACCGTATCGAACGATTCGGTTAAAAACTTATTGAAAATACCATTTGATTTTATTTAAATATAATAATAATAATAATAATAATAATAATAATAATAATAATAATAATAATAAAGGAAATATGGTTCGGTTGAACGGTAAAGGAGGCATCAAGGGACTTAAATTTACTTCTTTTTATTATTATTATTATTATTATTATTATTATTATTATTATTATTATTATTATTATATTTTAAATAAAATCAAATGGTATTTTCTTTCAGTTTTTAACCGAACCGTTCGGTACGGTTAATTATTTCAATGTTCGATATGGTTCTGTTCGGGAAAATCGAACCGAATTGCCACCCTTAAAGTTAATTGCTGAAATGGTCCATTGACAATAGCAAAATTACCAATTTGGTCCCAAGTTAACGGAAGTCTAACGGCAAAACTAACGGAGGACCAAATTGGTTAAAATTTGTAAAGTTGAGGGACTTAATTGGTCAAAAAAATAGTCAAGGACCACATTGATAATTTCGTTATAATCAAGGGACCATTTTGATAATTAACTCTTAATTTAAATTATAAGTGACTAGTTCAAGTTAATAGAATTGAAATTCGAACTCCTAACTTTGTGATTGCAAATTTGTATCATTATTCATATTTATTTATAGAGAAAATATTTGATGCACCGTCGGTGTATAGCATCTATACTCCGACGGTGAACCAAAACAAGACACCTCATTAAAAAGTAAAGTCAAAATAGTCCAGGTCCCTTTTAGCAAATTATAATAATTCTTAATTCTTAATATATATTAATTATAATACTCTACTCATCGTTATACCCTGCACCACGGCGCACAGTGTAATGTGCGTCCCGCGCCTCCCAAAACGACGTCGTTTTGGGATGCACGGTAGGAAGTTGACATGATTATGTATATTTATTTATACAATTATGTATATTTTTTATTATGTACATTTTTTATACAATTATGTATATTTTTTCATACAATTATGTACCTCCGAATCATGAAATTTTTGTGTATTATGTTAAGAGTTGATGTGTATTATGTTAAAAGTTTATGTTTATTATGTATTATGTTAGCTTATGTGTATTATCTTTTAAAAAAGAGTGTGTATTTTGTTATATAATTATGTACATTCATGTATGCAATTATGTGTATTCTAGTATAACATTATGTACATTTTTTAACATGAGGTTTTTTTTAAGGCAAATTAACTGCCAAACACTGGGTAGCGAAAATTTAAAAAAAATAAAAATAAAAATGATTAAAACAACGTCGTTTTGCATCTGGGCGCACAATGCAATGCGCACGGTGGTGCAGGATATAAATTGCCAAAAGTAAGTGCACGTACGTACAATATTATTGCCAATATTAAAATTATAATTGTATTAAATAACCTAACTAGTACATTCAAAAAAAAAAAAAAACCTAACTAGTAGTGATAATAATTGATTGCTTAATTAATTACTAACACAAGTCATAAAATTTATATTATATATATAGAATTAATATCATGTTAAAATGATTAATTATTGACATAATAATTGATTGCTTAATCAATTAACCAAACGCTCTTTATATAGAAACAAATCCTAAAAATTACTAGCTCTATTACATTGTAGTATGTGAAACACAAAGAACCAATAACGCCTTCACTAAGGCTCGAACTCATAATTTTCCAAATGAAAGTCCAACCGGGGTACCATTAGACTACATAGTCCTGGTAGATAATATGACATTATCCTTCTAACATTTCTAAAATAATTTTATTACTTGAACCAAAAGAACAAATCCTAATTGGTTTTCAAAAAAAAAAAAAATCCTAATTAATGAAAGGAAAGAATATTGTGATTCTTGATATACAATGAGTATCTTTTAAAAAACGTTACAGTATTTTACTATTTTGGTAGTGTTTATTAAATGACTAGTTTAATAATTTTCAATATATGAATTTTACGAACTTTATCAATTTGACCAAATAAAACTATTAAAATGAGTATTTGGTGAATGATGAATTGGCTTAACAAATAGTCATCAATTAGCTAGAACTTGAAATGCTACTAAAATATATAGGGTATTTAGTTTAGTAAATACCTAATAGTTGTTAGCTGATTGAGTTAATGAGTTTGACTAGTTGATAGCATTAGCTGATTGTAAAAAAATGTTTGGTAAATTAGCTGTTAGCTGATAACTGATTACATGCAAAATGATTTTCTCAAAAAGACAAAAACTGATCGAAAAAGTTATTTTGAACAACTTTTTGAATTTTAGCATTTTAGAGCAATAAATTGTTACAAAAAGCTAATTAATCAAACACTCATATTGATTGTTTAACTAAATTAAATAGCTAATAGTGGTCAAATAAGCCAAAATTAATTGATAGGCTGACTATTTCACCAAACAGGGCCATAGTGTTTTAAGATGATGGATTAATTGTTGGTCTGTCTCTTAAACAAGAATGGAAAAGAAATATTACTGTTTTTTTTTTTTCCCCAGAATGAAAGAGTTTGTGATTCAACTGTGATCCTATCTATCCTATCCTTATACGGTCTTTCAAAATACAGACAGACACACAGAAGATAACATAAGCAAGTTTGTCTGAGCCCACAAGATAATTGCCTAAATAATGTCGATCACTGGGAAAATACAAAAGCCAGTTCTTCGAGTGTTTGGTAAATAGTTGTTAGCTAATAATGGTTAGTTGATTGAGTTAGTGTGTTTGACTGGTTAATAACATTAGCTTATTGTAGAAAAGTGTTTGATAACAGTTAACTGATTACTTTCTCAAAAAGCTTATCAAAAAAGCTGATGTGAGCAATTTTTTGAATTTTAACATTTGGAGCAATAAGCTGTTACAAAAAGCTAATTAATCAAACACTCATATTGATTGTTTAACCAAGTCAAACAGCTAATAATGGTTAAATAAACCAAAATTGATTAATAATCTAACTATGTACCAAACAGGACCCTTGTCTTCTTGAAAGAACACCAACAATATGAGTTTAAGAATTTCACCTGAAAGATCTCCTAAGTTGGATATATATAGGGTTGGTTGTCTTAACTGTATAGAAGAATACTTCATGCCACCAGATCAATGACCCCTCCCATGTTAAGAAAAATGCTCTTACAGAACTGTACAAGCATGCCTAGCCACCTAATCTCTGGCAATTTCCAGGCAAAAGATATGAGTAAGTGTCTGCATTGTTCAGAAGATAAGAAGGAAGATGAACTGCTGAATAAGAATGAGGGATAGGTCCCATCCCCCCAATGATATCCTTGAATGTGAATTCCTCGGGAAGCATGTCATATAAGTCAGCTCCGCGGCAGATGATGTCTTGAATTCTTTTCGGGTCCAGAAAATGCGAAAACCTCACTCTGTCGTTGTGGCTGTAGGCTTTCATCTTGAATATGAAGTCCGAAATGTGGGGGAAACAAAAGCTACAATGCCAACCTGAATCCGAGAAGAGGTAGTTGGACTGGCGAAAATGTGCAAATCTCGTCTTCTTTCTCTGATACGTATGGACTGAAGCTCTCCAGCTGACATGATCGATTTGAAATTCGAACGAATACAAATAGTTCTTCAGTTGGAGATGAAGAACCGGGGGAATTTCATCACACCACCTTAACAAATCGATCGTGTGCCTGCTGGGTATCTCATCAACATCCGACATAATCAGCAAATCATCGTCTTCTATACCAGCTATCCCGAGAAGCTGGTCGAGGGCAACTCTCTGATACGCCTCTTCAATAAATGGATTTTCGCCTCTCTTAAACCTTCCCCCGTACGCTCCATAGGTCAGCCGGGGCTCAACAAAGCCAAACTGCTCGCGGTTATTTGCAAAAAAGTAAGGCTTGTGCAACCCGGTGAAAGTCGAGTTTGATTCGAGAAGAACAAATTGCGTGATGAAAGGATACAACTCTTGCCATCTGATCTTAAGCATGTCTACCTCGTTACTGAATAGAACTGCATCAAAGACACGCCTCGGATATTCCCGAATGCCCCAGCCGTGAAGATTGCAAAGACTCTCCATCGACACATTCTCGTGATAATAGTGAGTTAAATGAACGAAAGGCTTCGGGGGAGATTGCCAGAGTGGTCGGAAGAAATAGGTAATCTTCTGCCCATGTACATATATGCCAACCATGCATGTTGGAACAATCACAAACAAAAAGAAAATGGCTTTTATATCCAATCCTCTGAGCAAGCAAACTACTCTTGCCATGGTTGGTGCTCCAGGAGAAGCCTGTAGAACAAGTCCAGTTCATCAGATAATCAAATAAAAGTAGGAAATTAAACAACCAAAAGGCAAATCAAATGCCCTCAAATTACTGAATAGGAACACTGTTTTGAAGGAAAAAGACTGATTCATAATTCATTCATGAAAGCCGAAATTACTTGCAAAGAATACAACCAGGAAACAAATATTCACAACCATTCATTCTGCCTCAAATTTTAGAATCAAACAAAACATTGCACATAAGGAACTAGGCAAAGAAAACACAGAATTCACAAATGTCCTCCAGCAGCTTACAACAAGATATGCTCCACACCCCTGTGTGCGATGGGCTCCAAGCAACACGTGGAAACATAGTCTCTTTTTATCAGGTGACACGTGGAAACATAGTCTCTTTTTATCAGGTGACACGTGGAAACATAGTCTCTTTTTATCAAGTGACACGGTCAGATTGACTCTGATACCAAATTGAAGCATATGCTCTATCTCGAAGACTAATTTGAGAGTTGAACTGCATATTTGTGTTTATATATTATATGCTCAACAATTCCAAAAAGGGATTAAAAATCAGTAAAATTTCTGGAGAAGAACAACCAAGCATCACATCATTCAAAGCTCCGGGTTAAAACCAGTCTGAACATACAAAGTTCATACAAATTCTAGAAAGCAAAAGGAAAATCCCCACATAAACTAAAACATCTAGCACGACCCACTTCCTAAAATCCCCAAAAGATCATCAGGCAATCATTGAAATTCAATCTTTTCAATATTGAAATGCTCATACAAGTGAATAATTCGCATTTTGAAAAATGAAAGATAGCAAAGTACCTGGCCACAAACATCTTCACACACATCATCACTCTTCTTAGAGGTGTAATACCCATCAGCCATCCTTACAGAAATGCCTTTAAACAAAACGTTTCCCTGCTTATATTACATATACATATCTCCACTCCTTTCCAGGTTCCTCCAATTTCATTGCTAAATTCTGTCTTTCATATCAATAAGAATATGCAAAAATCGACCATGAGAGAAGGGAAGATGGAAAAACCTTATAAAACCCCACACAGAATACGAAAGAGAAGATTTCCTTGAGAATCAACCAGTCATTCCCAATAAACTCAGAGGCTTATCTTCTTATATCTTATCGAGTGACAGTTCGGGAAACGCTGAAATTAAAGGCACTTTCGTGGGTTCTTCTACTTCTTTCTCTGATTCTTCTCTCTATATATATACACACACCTCCTCGCTCTTACAGCCATTGAGGAATGAGGACAGAGAAAGCAGTTATTAAATACGGAAGTATGATAGAGAAATTTATTGGAAATTTCGGAATTCCTAAACTTAACGAAACGAAAAAAATGATAAATTCAGATAGAATTTTGAGTGAAATATTGAATGCCTTACAATATGACAAATTCCAACCCAACAGGGTAGCTCAAGTGGCAAATGAACTCTTGGGGAAATTTCAAGATAACTCGGGTTCGATTCTAACAAGTGACGATTCCCTTTGGCGAACCGGGTGGACCTGGATCAGCTTCTGTGCCTCTCGGAGCGAACCACCACCGGGTGGACCTGGACCAGCTTCTGTGCCTCTCGGAGCGACCCGAGTGGACCTGGACCGTTAAACGGACAGAGAAAGACCCGGACCACAATGTGTGGTTTCCACCAAAAAAAAACAATATGACAAATTCCATGCGGAGATCTCCACGATATATTCCCCTGCACTGTCTCATCATTGGTGCGGACTAACGGACTCCGTAGGTAACTACATAAACTATCATGGGAAATTATATCGGCCTACTACTATATGTAAACAATAAATATATAAGTATGTTCTATACTTACTCTCTCAAACAGTTTAAACCTATGATCGCTCATTAAAAATAAAAAATCTTTTTCCATACGAAACGGGCAAAGTGCTAGTTAGAGTGATTTGTCTATATGAGAGGGAGTTCAAACTCCCGACCTCTCTTAAGAGATAAGAGTGCACAGTCACTCATGCCAACCAAGTTGGTTTTCCATTTTGATCTTTAATAAAATAATATTGAGGACTAGACTCAAAATTTGGCCCACGAGGGCCTATTACAATACCCATACGAAATAAGACAGTTGCCTAGGAAGGGGAAAAAAAAAACAAGAAACGAGTAAAGTCAATTGTTCACTATGAAGGATGATGCATGTGTATGAAGAACAATGACTCCTTATTTATATATGTAAGGAGGATAACACCCACAGAGAATGAATCACCCTTGTGCCTTGATCGTCCACTATCGGACACATGTGCCTCGTCTTAGAAGTATAAAAAATTGTGCAACTTGTCACGACTACCCATCACCCTAATTGAGGGAGCTAAATTGTTGCCCATCTACCATTACGAGGCCATACACGACCTTGTAGGGGCTGCCAACGCTTGACAACAATTGGTGGCCTACAATTGCACCCCATGCCTAGCGATGAGGTTCCGTGTGCCTGGCAATGCAAACTTGGGCGATTAGGGCACCAAGTTCCCTCACCCATGTATGCTCCCCACCTTCCTCACCTTAGCACCTTGGTCCCCATAGTTCATGCTCTCCCACTCCTTGTACCCTAAATTCCTTGCTTTCTCACATTTTTTGCCCTAGAACTCCCTACTACCGAATCTAATTTTTGTCTCAACTCCTTATATAGCCCACTTGAATTCTATCTTGGACCTCTAGGCCTAGCCCCCAAGCCCCCATCACAAGTTCACCATTTCTTTTGGTTGTCTAGAGAACTAGAGGAAGCAATAAATATTGAACTTGCGACCTCATAGAATAATTAGGCTTCCCGTTTAAATTTAAAATCTAACTAGAGGGAGACTTGAATCACATGTTCAAAGAATTTGAATACCCATAGTTACATAACCTACCTCAACTTCCTCCCTCAATTCTACGCCCTTTAACCCCCCCCCCCCCCCCCCTCCCCCCTCCAATTCTTTTCTCTATTTTATCATATAATTTTCTAGCTCCCAGTGCACTTTTGTTTTCTCTTCTCTACCACCTTAAATTTCAAAAAAAACATGATCACCCTCTAGAATAACACCCCAATGTACCACCTCATTAACCCTAACCGTTGCTATGAATTCCCTCACTATGGGATCACCTATATCCATCATCACACAAATGCTTGGATCACCACCATTTTGCCCACCCGATACCGTTGTTGTGCTGCCCATACCGCCCCCAACTTGCCATGTCCCTCCTCTACTATAGACGTTCACTACTAACTTGCCCCCAAAACTTTGTTGCCCATTTGCCTAGGTCGATTACGGGTTGCCCATTTATAGCCCTACTTGGCACCTTAGTGGGGTATGCTGCTAGCAAGTTGCACATCGTCTTCGTTGCCACCCCACTTCCAAACACTTGCTTAGGCCTCCTATCACAATCCTCTATCATCAATTACCTTACTAGCTTAGTTCCTATCCTACCTACTCCAAGTTATCTACCTCCAACTTCTCATAAACATTCCGAGGGTCCAAGTTCTTCCTTTACTCGTTAGGCCATTAAATTTTCCCTTAGTTATCTCAACTACAAACGAAGGGTCTTAACTAGTTTCCCCTTAAATAATCTAATTTGTCAAGCCTCTTTCCCATTAACTAGACTTACTCATCGTCCTTCGAATTTTCCCTCAATTGCATCCCGAGGAGCTCTAGACCCTTCGTTAGTGATTGGGTGCCAAGGTCACTCTTTTGCCCACTTCCTCGATTAGTAGCATCATTGCTTCCTCACACTCACTGGTAGTGGGGTGCACTACTACTTTGTTCGAGCTGGTCTGCCGTTCTCCCTCCATTCGCTGGTGGTGGAGTTCCTATGTCCTACAACCTTGTCATAAGCGTTGATATTTTAGTCATATCACATTCATATAAAATTAAGGGAAAATGGCGAGTTTGATCCCTGAGTTATAATGGTAGTGACGACTCAGTCCCTGAGTTATGACCGTATCCATTTTTAGTCTCTCAATTATGAGCGAAGTGGCGCATTTGCTCCCCGACCATTAAGACTGATGGAAAAATTAAAAAATAGTTAAAATTTTAGGGGTAAAGTAGGAAATTCACATTTTATTCACTTTCTTATATTGAAACCACTTCTGCAACATTATTTTCAACTTCCTAACATTCTATTTCAAGGTTCTTCAATTCCAAAAAGCAATTAAATAATCTTCGTATGACTTGTTAGTAACTTGAGTCTCGTATAAGAAACCTGTGATTCAGTACAAACAAGAGAACATTTTATCATTGTCTTCATGCATGTAAAACACACCATCTGAAAAGTTTCTGATTTCCCTTATTACTAAATATAATGGTAATCAAACCATAACTTTTGAAATACAAGAAGATAATCAAATTTCAAATGTTATTTTCATGACAAATTCACTAAGGGAGTAACTTGAGATTTTTAGTATGTAAAATTCTTTCATAAGTTCTGCAGTAACTTAATCAATAATTGTATATCCTGACAATATATGAAAATTATTATATATATATATATATATATATATATATATATATATATATATATATATATATATATATATATATATATATATCCATTACTTCTTCCGTCTTCTTAAAAACCAGAGTAATGAATGAGTAACCTAAGACTCAGTTATGAAAATTCTAAAAAGTTTTGTAACTTCTAAAAACGATTATTGACTAAACTACTGCATATGAAAAATTTTTACATACTAAAAATCTCAAGTTATTCCGTTAGTGAATTTCTCATAAAAGCAAGCTAAGAAATTTGACATCATTTTGTATCTCAAAAGTTCTGGTTTGATTACCTTTGTGCTTAGTAAAGAAAATTGAAAATTGATAGGATAGTGTGTTTCACACGTTTGAAGACAATGATAAAGTGTTTCTTTGTTTGTGCTAAGTCTTAAGTTTGTTATACGAGAGTCAGGTTCTTAACAAGTCATACTAAAGTTATTGAAATGCTTTTAGAATTGAACAATCTTCAAATAAGAGGCTAATAAGTGAAAAATAATGTTGTGAAAGTGATTTTGATATAAGAGGAGAATAAAATGTGAATTTCCTACTTTACCCTCCAAATTTTAAATATTTCTTAATTTTTTTCGTTAGTTTTAACGATCGGGAACTAAATGCATCACTTCATTCATAACTGAGAGACTAAAATGAATACGATCATAACTCAGTGACTGAATCGGAACTTGAGTATAACTCAAAGACCAAAAATACAATTTTCTCTAAAATTAAATTAAGGTGATTCAAGACTCTATAAAAAGTTAAAAAAATATCTACAACTGGTATTTTGAGTTTTCAATGATTTAGGCAATATTAAGGTTGAAACACAACGTGAAATTTCTCCTCATGCAAAGTGGGTTTTTATCTTATGTTTTTAATTAGTTATTCCTAGATAGGGCTTGCAATATCAGAGGGGTGTGGGTATGCTTATAAGTACCCTAAACTTGTATTTGCTTATTGAATAAATTTTTTTTTTATTTTAATTTGCCTTAAACAACAGTTAAATACAAACGGATAAGAAAGATAATAAAACAAAATCATTATCTATTACAAAAATACAATATTAGTTTATATGGGCAGAACAAAAAAATGTTGGTCAGTGGAGGCGAAAAAAAAAAACTTCAAAACGTGATAAAAGAATATTTATAATAAAATATGAAATGGTTGGAATAAATTGTATATCATCGCTTATTCAAAAAAAAAATGTATATCATCGCTATTAATATTATATTTATAAATACTTTTTTTTAGAACGACATATTCATAAATACTTTTTAATTTAATTAGATCAACTCTAAGTATTTTATATTAATTTAAATACGATAATACACAATTGACACTTTTAGATTATATTAACTAGATAGTTCATAAAAATGAAATTTTCTTTTAAAATATTAACTAGATAGTTCAAATTGGTCTTTTGACTTTTAATTGCACTCAAAGTAGTCCTCTGACTATAGTAAAACACTGAATTGTCAATTTTACCCTTCATTTAAACACCCACTTAACACCAAAACTAACATATGACCATTTTGGCTTAAAATTCAATAGTCGGAGGACTACTTTGGGTGCAATTAAAAGTCAATGAACCAATTTGAAAAAAAAAGTCATAGTCGGAGGACCATTTTGGAAATTAACTCCTATTTTCCAAATGCATAATTTAGCATCCCAATGCACAACTATAATTACAGAAATATCACCGCATGTTTTTAAAAATTTCAGTCATGGGTCAATACCACCCCCACTGAAGCTCAAACCCATGACCTCCCATTTGGAAGAGCCACTTCGTACCACTAAACCACAAGGTCATTAAAATAAAAAAATTATAAATTACATTTTTTTTTAATCTCTAAG